ATAAAACGCAGAGTGGGTAATCCTCTCGGCCAGGAGACCTACAGCCAGGCACCCAGGCTCCTCCTTCCTATCTTGTAGCTCCACTGTCTTTTAGGACCGATGAGAGAATGGAGGAACTCCTCCCAGTCCTAAAAAACAGTCACATCTATCATCGCTGCTTGCGTTCCATTGGGGAAAACTGGTCACATGGCCACATCCTGATGCAAGGCAGGCAGGAAATGCAGTACCCTGCCGACAGCCACCCTCCAGCAGCAGCTCTGTATTATAAAAGAGGGAACACAAAGTTTTGGTGGACAGTGGCTGTCTTTTCCAGAATCATAGTAAATCACCAACCTCCTAGGTTCTTCATCTATAACACAGAAAGCAGCGCTTGATTGCGGCAACGGACGTTTGCTAAAATCACTGAATCGTACGCCTACTGCCGGTAAATTTTGTGGTGTGTACTAATATAGCTGTATTTTTAAGAAAAAAAAAAAAAAACAGAGGGAGCATCTTGCCCTTCTTCTCAGGGTTCTTATGAGGACTCAGTAAGTGACATTTTGCCAAGCTGGCACTGTGTGTGTGCATGTGGTGGGGGAGGGTAGGGAAGGCAGGCTCCAAAGGAGCTCTGAGTTGGGTTGTGCATTGGGTATGGTTTTCGTAAGAGAGGCACCCAGCTCAAGCCACCTGCCAACAGGAAGTGGTAGGCGGTTCGGTCTTGTTTCTTGCTTGGGAAGCCCTCCCGGCGTGTGGCAGAAGACCCAGCCCCCAGGGCCAGAACCACAACTGCTGCCAGGAAGGCTGGGTGACACCCACCTGCCTTCAGCCACACAGACCGGAAACCAAGGGCCTCCCTCGGGGCCAGCGAGGACACACACACACACACACACACACACACACACACACTTGAGGTGCAAGGCACGTGAGGTCCCCCGGCATGGCACAGTCAGCTGAAGTGTGGATAGTAGGGCCAGCTACATGGGAGGAACAGGGGGCCGGCCAGGGGCCTCCACTGCCCGCTGCTGGAAAGTTCACAGCCACCGAGTCCACAGCCGCTCCTTCAAGCGGAGGCAATGGTGATGAAGGCAAAATAGTTTCAGGTCAAGTTCCCACCGATGCCAGGTGTATGTGCCCTCGACCACTCGGGGAGGCGGATGTGTCTTAGTTTACTCTCTGGCCTGGAGTCCCCGCCTGAAGGAAGTTGCTGGTCTACCTACTGTTGTGAGTTAATACCCGTGAAGCGCCTGGACAGTGCCTGCCACTCGGTCACCTCCCAGCAGGAGCTGAGCGAATGCATGGGCGTCTTCGGCTCAGGCTTTGCTCTCTCCTGGGCCTCGGTTTCCCCACTTGGATACCAAGGCATCCGGATGAGATGCTCTACCATTCTGACTGGGGAAAACAGTGGCTCAGAGCACCGGCTTTGGAGCCAGTCCCAACGTGAGCTGCAGGACCTTGGACGAGTTATTCAGGCTCTCTGTGCCTCGTTCTCCTCAGCCCTAAAATGGGGGTGATGATGACACCTACCCGTTGAATTGGGAAGATAAGATGAGCTCATCCTGAGTCCAGGGCCCGGCAGGTAGTAAGCCCCATTTCAGCGTTAGTTCCTTGCTATTGCCATTGTTGTTATTTTCCCCAGACAAGTGACTCGCTCAAGGTCACCCACCTAAAAAGCGGCACAGGGCAGGATCAAGGGCAAGCCTGCTGAGCCCCAAGGCCCATGCTGTTTCTTTCGCTCCCCACTGTGCCTCTTAAGTCACATGCATCGTAACTGGGTCAGAGGCAGTGTGTACCTGGGGCTATGACGCAGCGACGGGGAGGGCTGTGTAGATTAATTCCTTGTCGCCTGCTGACGGCTGGCAGGGAACAGGCCTGAAGGGAGAGGGAGGTTGTGAAGGAGGGAGGGGCCAGTAGTGGGGACCCCCAAAACTGGGCCCTAGGAACTAAGAAAGGTTGGGAGAAAGTAGCCACTACCCCCGGAGAGCTCTTGGCCTGTTGATGGGGACAGACAGGGGACGGAGTGGAGACCACCCCAAGATCTTCAACAGGAACCCTCAGACAGAGCCACACACACCCTATGTGAATCCTGGGACTCAGCAGAGGCAGGACCCGGCACCCGGGGCAGCAGAGAAGCCTTCCTGGAAGAGTGGGGCCTGAGGATAAAGAGAAGATTGGCTGTGGGGCAGGGGGAGATCAAGGCGGGCAGCGGGACTGGCAGAGGAGACTTGAGAGAGGCACTGAAGCCACAGAGACGCAGTGCAGGGTGGTGGTCAAAGCAAGGGCTAAACCGGAGTGCAGGGGGCAAATGTGGGACCCAGACCCACCCCACTGTGGCTGCACCCCCGACCCAGACAGCTGCCTGCGCAGTGCAACTCGGCGGCCAAAGCAGCAGGGATGAGCCATGTACCCCACAGCCCCCGGGTGAGGGAGGAGGGGACAGGGGGAGAAAGAGCTTCTAGCAACTTGCAGCTGCCAGTCGGTCAACCTCCCAGAAGATGGAGAAACAGCCCCAAAGGACTGGCAGGGCCAAAGCCCAAAGCGGGAGCGTTGCACACGGGTGCGTATATGTGCCTGCACGCCCATGGCCTTGCCCAGCGCAGCAGCCCTCGGGGAGTCCACAATCATCAAGAGAAGTAGGTCAGCAGAGCAGCCCAGCATCTCACTGGCCGGCAGGGGGAAGAGTTCAAGGCAAAGAGGGTGTGTACTCATCGGACCCCCTGGGGGCCTGAGGACGCTCACCCAGAGACAGCCTTACCCCTCCCTGCTGCCTCAAAGCGGATCGCCTGGGTTTCCTCACTCGGAATTCTCCCCACGGGGAGGTGGGGGGCAGGGAGGGATATTTGGCAGAGGTTGGGACCAGTGACCCTCTCTAGCCCTGAAGGCAAGGAAAGACCACCACGGGGAGATGCCGCCCACTTTAGCCTAGTCGGCGGCTACAGTAACAGGGTGCCGTCTGGCTGGAGCTGGGACCACACAGAGACCGGGTGACAGGTGCCACGGCCCAGTCGGGTTCAGCACAAGGAGCTTGGCAGAGGTAGGGGCAGCAGGACCCTGTGTCCGTGGGCCTGGCGCCATCCCTCCCCCGTGGGGGTCTATGAAATGGGCTAATCCAGGCTGCAGACTGAGGGCATTCGTGTGGTGTTTCAGACAGACTCCTGGCATCCGTTCAGACCAAAGGAATTAGGGAAGGAAGGGCAGTGCCTACAGCGGGGGAAGCTTCTATGGAGTAGGGCTTGCTCATGAATGGAGGGGAAGGGGGCTGAGTGGGGGAGCAGGATCCTGAGGAAGCAGAGGGGGCAGGAGCCAAATCGGAGGAGGGGCGGAGGGCCCCCTGCTCCCCCAGCCAGCCGGAGGACGTGGGAGGCCAGGAAGTTCCCTCCTGATGTTCCTCCTCTCCGTGTGAAGTGGGAGGCTGGGTCGTGCCAAGAGGGAAGGGGAAGGCAGAGGAGGAGAAGAGGGTTTGGGCCTGGAAGGGGAGCGGCTGGGCCGGGGTGAGGATGCGGGGCTCCCGAGAGCAGCCTGTGGCCGGCTCAGCCGGAGGGGACGCAGGACGCACGACACCACTCCGGGGCACTTACAGAGCCCTTACGTGTGCCAGGCACCAAGCGCTCCACGGCTGAGCAGCCCGTAGAGAAAAGGCACTAATACGTCCTTTTTCTAGATGGAAAATTGAGGCATGGGAGGCTGAAGTAACTTGCCCAAGGCCATCCAGCTAGCAGGTGACAGAGCAGGATTCAAAGCCGGGTGGCTAGCTCCAGGTCGGCTATCCAAGACCCCTGGGCTGTCTTGCAGGGGTGGGGGCTGGGGGAAGTGTGGGGTGAGTCACCTGGGATGGGAGGTAGGAGGGAGTAAGGGGAGGTGCGCCAGGAGGCAGGCTCCCGGGGCTCAGCGTATGGAGGATTCGGTGCCGGCCTCTCCTGCGGGTACACGCACAGACACGTGCGCACCTGCTCCTGGAAGCTTCGCTCCCAGCACCCCCACCGCCAACTTGACAGACAAGAAATGCAGGCCCCAGGTGGGCGTTCACTCTCACCCGGCCCCCCCCCCCCGCCCCCCGCCGGACTCTCCCCGAAGCAGCTCCCTGCCCCCCCAACACCGTCTGGGGACAAACTCGGTGCCTCTGACGGGTGGGTGCAGCTTGTGCGGATACCGAAGGGGTCAGTCAGGCTGTGAATGTGGAGGGTGAGGCAGGGGAGGGTTGGGTCTCTGTGGGCCTGGTGTGGAGGGTGAGGCAGGGGAGGGTTGGGTCTCTGTGGGCCTGGGCTCTGCCTTGGGTCTGGGGCGGAGCGGGTGTGGGAGGGAGGTGGGGCCCGGGACGCCACCTGTAGCCGCGTATACCTGAGCAGGGTTGTGTTGTCTGGGGGAGGGGGAGGGGCGTAAGGCTGTTGGGGGAGCGGGGGACATCTGCACCACCCCGCCAGAGTTCTGTCTGCGCCTGCTTGGCTGAGGAATTTGCTACCGTGACCCCTGCCCTGAGACAGCACCTTCCCCACCCCTTGCCTTACATTCTCAAAAGCCCGTAACACCTTGTAGCATAATGTGTAATTCACGCGTTCACTATGTTTATCGCCCATCTCCTCCCCAAAACCTAAGTCCCTCGAGGGTGGGATTCTTACCTGTTGGTTTAGTGATGCGGGCCCAGGGCTCTGAGCAGCAGGCCCCTGGCGAACAGCAGGTGGTGATCAGTATTTGCCGACAGGAGCGGCCGTGTGAACTTGGTACACGGAGTGTCTTTGTGTGACGTAAACACGTGTGCCTTGTCTGAGGCTGTGTCCGGATGACAGCCTGGGACAGACGGGCCAGTGGTACCCGAGTGGGGACTGCGGGGGCAGGGACCGTGTCTCCAGGGAGTGTGGCTCGGGCCTGGCCCTGAAGCCTTGGGGAAAGGGGATAGATGCTCATCGCCCCCGTGTGGTCATCTTGAGCCTGGCATCCGGGGACCCGAGGTACCGGGGAAGGAGCGGGTGGCTGGGCCAGGGGGCCCTGGCTTGATGTGACATTTGGTGCTGCGCCCCCCACAACAGGGAGAAGATGAGCGTGGGCTGCCCGGAGCCCGAGCCACCCCGCTCCCTGCCCTGCTGTGGGCCGGGGACCGCCCCTGGGCTGGGGGCAGGCGTGCCGCTCCTCACTGAAGATATGCAGGCACTGACCCTCCGCACGCTGGCCGCTAGCGATGTCACCAAGCACTACGAACTCGTCCGGGAGCTGGGCAAGGGCACCTATGGGAAGGTCGACCTGGTGGCCTACAAGGGCACGGGTGAGCATCTGCCGGCGGCGGGTGTGAAGGCTGGGGGGCGGGGGAGGGGGGGCTTGCCTGGGGCTCGTGGGTGTTCGCTTCCGGAGCCGAGGGGTCAGCAGGCAGACAGAGCTCGTGGTCCAGGTGGAGAGATGTAGCCTGAGCGGCCCAGGGAGACCTGAGACGGGGCCCGGGGCCAAGACTGGAGGGTGGGCTGCTTTGGGGCCAAGGGCATGACCCCGGGACATCGGGAGCTCAGGAGAGAAGTCAGGGCTGGCAGTGGTGTTTGCGGAATCACTGGCCCATGGGGGGTAGTTGACCCCAGCGGAGTGGACAGAGCCCAAGGGTGCGTCCTTGGAAACGGCGCCATGCTTCAGGAGGGGTGGGAGATGTCCCTGGGAGGTCACTATGGCCATCTCCATTTCTCAGATGAAGACACAGAGACCCAGAGACCCATCGCTCAGCTAAGTTCATGCAGCTGTAGAGGCTGTGAGCCAGGGCAAGACCCCAGAAGTCAGCTCCAGAATCTTCTCACTTCCCCGCGAGCATGATGCCTTCCCCACAGCACAGCCTCACAGCGGTGCCCATGCAGCCAGTCAGGGACAGGGACTTCGTGAGCTCTCACAGCTGCACACACCTGGGGCGGGGGGCGGGGGGCGGGGCTCTGTGCCCACTGACAGCGGCGGGAGGAACACTGGACATGGGGTTGCCTGACCTTTGCCACTTGCTCTCTGTGTGACCTTGGGCAAGTGACTTAACCTCTCTGTGCGTAGGTTTCCTCCTCTGTTAAAAATAGGATAGCATTAGGGGCACCTGGGTGGCGCAGTCGGTTGAGCGTCCGACTTCAGCCAGGTCACGATCTCGCGGTCCGTGAGTTCGAGCCCCGCGTCAGGCTCTGGGCTGATGGCTCGGAGCCTGGAGCCTGTTTCCGATTCTGTGTCTCCCTCTCTCTCTGCCCCTCCCCCGTTCATGCTCTGTCTCTCTCTGTCCCAAAAATAAATAAACATTGAAAAAAAAATTAAAAAAAAAAATAGGATAGCATTAGGGCTGGCCCACCTCCCAGGGTCATTATGAGGCGTGGGCTGTGAGTGCAAAGTGAAGAGTGGGCCCTGTGACAGGTAAGGGCCCTGTGGACACGTGTGCGTCACACGGCTTTGCACCCTCAGTGGGTACAGATGGCTGCCCAAGTGCAGAGTCAGGGACCTATGCCTTGCAGACCCTCACCTCTCAGTGTCTAATTCCTCCTTAGCCATGTAACAAACATGTGTTGAGCACCTACTGTGAGCCACACTGTTGTAGGCACTGGAGATACAGCAACGAGCGAGACAGATTCCCGCGCTCAGGGGGCTACGTTCTAGCGTGGGGGGAGACCGAGACGTGAAGGAGGATCTTGTACGTCAGGAAGGAGAGGGGAGAGTGGAGGAAGCAGCAGGCCATCCTCACCGAGGCCGGCAGACCGGGGCAGGAGACCCGGCCTGACCCCCGACTCGCTGCCTGGCCTTTGGCCAGTCCTTTCCCCTCCCCGGGTCTCAGTTTGCTACCAGTAAGAGGAGGACAGACACACGCTGCCCCGCGGCGGGGACGGGCTGTGCGGGCAGGCCTGGGAACGTCATGCGCGGGAGCGCGGGGACAGGAGCCTTCACCACTGTGGCTCCTGCCCCGTCAGGCACGAAAATGGCGCTGAAGTTTGTGAACAAGAACAAGACCAAGCTGAAGAACTTCCTGCGGGAGGTGAGCATCACCAGCAGCCTCTCCTCCAGCCCCTTCATCATCAAGGTCTTTGACGTGGTTTTTGAGACCGAGGACTGCTACGTCTTCGCCCAAGAGTACGCACCTGCCGGGGACCTGTTCGACATCATTCCTCCTCAGGTACTGGGTGTGGCGGCCCAGGGAGAGGGGAGATGTCTTCCCACCCCCGCAGGGGGAGAGTAGGAGGGGGACGGGGGGCAGTCAGACCACTTATTTAGCCAACAAGCATTTACTGAGCCCCTTCTGTACGTCAGCCACCGGAGGGCCGGGGATACACTAGGAATAAAAGGCTTGCGCGCCTCCTCGTGGGGAACAGACACTGCGAAATAAGCCAGATGACAGACTGAGCCAGGCTCTGGGAAGGCAGCGGCCAGGGGCCTGGGATGAAGTCCAACACCACCCTCCTCGGCAGCCTTGTCTGAGGCTGCGTAGGAACAGTGGGGGCACGAGGGGGGAGAGGAGGCCGCGGGGCCACCAGAGGCTTCCCAGAGGAGGTGCCCTGGAGTGGGAGGGAGTGCGCAGAAAATCCCAGGCTCCCGGCTCTGCGTCTGGTGGTGCCAGGTATGAATCTGCTCCGGCGCTCAGGGGGTGAGTGGCAAGGCCTCTCAGAGCCTTATGTCCCTATAAGGGAAGTGGGCGTAACAGCAGCTGTGAGGGGTTGAGACAGCGCGGGTCGGGCACCCGGCCCACCGTGGGCGCTCAGGCCCGGGTCTGTGGCTGCAGTGGGGCGGGGGGGGGGGGGGGGGGGGGGGGGAGGAGAATGACTGGGCCAGAGAGAGAGGAGGAGGTGCCCCGGTGAGGTGGGGGAGGGGAGAGGCATGGCCCAGGCGGCAGCCCGGGGAATGCGACCGGGAGCTCGGGGC